CGCCACTGGCAGAAGCTAAGGGAGGAGAGCGCCGCGCGCGTCGTGCTCACCTCACTGCTCGCCTGCCTGCCCGCTGGCCCGCGGGTCTACTTCCTTAAAGGTGAGCGCCGCGGGGACCCCCGCCACTCTTAACCCGCCCCGCGCCTCCCGGGCCCTGGGGTCCCCTCGTCCCGTGGGGTAGCCCTCTGCACTCTGGAAAAGGGAGTGTGCACGCTGCGACTTGAGGTGCGCTCGGAAGGGCCCTGCAAAATGTCAGCTCTCGGAGCTTTCCCCCCTCCCCACCCGCGTTCCTCGAAAGCGCCCGGCAGCCTGTCTGTCCGCTGGGCTGGGTGGAGTTGGTTATGCTGCGGGGGATGCTATTGCTTAGCACTCTGGGGGCCGTCGGCTCGTGCGGGACGCGGACTTCGCTGCTCCCACGGGGGTCAGGGGACTTCCCGATAACACAGATATGGCAGGATCAGTAGCGCACGACCCCGCCACCTCCACCTCTGCTAGCGTGGCGCCGTGGTGTCCCCGTCCTCCCGCCTAACCATCTGCGGTACTTAAGCTATGTCTTCACCGACTCCTCTTACCTTTCTGGGCCTGGCAAGTCTCCCCTTCCTTTCCTTTTCATTATATTGCTTTTTATTGTTTTCTTCCGGCCTCCTCTTCTCTGCTCCTGGGTCTTTCTCAAGCTCAATTTGGAGCAGACAGCCTTCTCACCCTTTTCACCTTCTCCCTCCCGCCAGCCCGGGATTATCTCTGGGACCCTTCCTGAGTTTAACCTCCTGCGGGCCAGGAAATGAGAGCAGTGCCACGGGGGCAGGGTGGTGAGGAGGAAATTCAGTGGCCTTTGATTTGAGACCTTCAAGAGCTGCCTGCCACTTGTCCCCACAGGCCTGCCCTTTTCACCTGCTGGAGAGAGATAACTTTGGCCTCTGGTGTTGGGTGGGTGGTTGACTCTCAAACTCCAGAGCATTGGCTTCTGGGTCACTTGCTATGGCGGCTCCTGCTTTGTATTTGAGTCCCTTCTAAACTGAAATGATACCGGGGAACCTGGCCTTGAGGGCCTTGGCCTTAGCCTCAGAGGGTCCCCAAGGCTCTGCCAACTCTAATGTTGACTTCTTGGGATGTAGTACACTGATTCCTTCCCCAAGGAGTGAGTTTTAAAGCCATATAACTTGAGAATGTCCCACATTCTGGGCCAGGAAGATTTGAGAGGCATGTGGGCAGCTACCCTCTCTATTGGCACCTCTGGCTGACTATCCCCTGTTGATTCCTATTAGGGAAATAACAGAGGTAGATGATCTTCTTAGTGCAGCCCCATCCACAGAGGACAGAGGATGGCCTCTCCCAGGCTCTGGGAGGTTTCACATATGGCTCCTGATGTCTTTTTCTTCCTGAGGTGGTTTTTGTCTCCTGTTCTTAGCAATGAGTATAGGAAAAGCTTCCACCTCTCCAGTAGCATGAAAGATGTTCCCAGAAACCCCTGCCAGTCCACCACTGTTCCCTACCTTTCTCTAAATGGACTGCTGACAGAAGCCGCAGAAAGTAGGCATTCTATACACCTACCTCTCAAGAAAACTATGTTTAAAATTATTATTAATGAAAGCAACAAAATTGCTTTTTAATGAAAGCATAGAACACATCTGTACTATGAAAAGCAAGTCATCTGAGTACCCTAGAACCCAGTTCCACTTCCTAGTGGCTGTTACCCCGTATTTCTTGTTAGTCTTTAGATAATTTTCCATAAGTATCTTTTAAAAATAGGTTGACTGTTGTATATTTCCTGTTCCAACCTTTTTCATCCACCTACATTTTAGAGATTTGTCCATATTAGAACATACATGCTCATCTCATGTTTAACCAGTTGGTAGGCTAAGCAGCACTGTTGGAAGCAGTGCTGTACAGGATACTTTGTCTGTGTGCTTTATCTTTCAGTAAAATCATGAGAATTGCCAGGTCAAGAGTTACATGCATTCAAATTTCAGTAGAAATTGCTTGATGCCTACCCTTATCCTAACACTACCAAACTTTAAGTTGTTGCTAGAGAAGATTTTTATTTTTCTAACTCATTTTCAGATATAAATGCAAGTTTTGATCTAGTGTCATCTCAGATCTTAGGGGGCAGTGCCTTTTACATTTCCCATAATCCTCTCTCCCCTTCCAAAAAACCCCACTATGATGAGAAGGTGATGAGTGACTCTCATGGTCAGTGTTTATTTATATGTAGCTTCTGTGCTATCTCTATTTCTCTGGTTATGCAGAGGTGATTGAAAACAGACTCTGAAGAAGGTTAAAGTAACCCTAAGAATCACCACAGCTCTTGCAAAGCAAGTGAAGCCCCAGAGAGGATTGTTCTGTCTCTCCACACCTCTGATGGGAGTGGGTGAAAGAGAGGAATCATCTAATCTGGAGGATTCCTCCAGACCCCAGCTTGAAGAGGCAGGGCTCTGTTTAGCTGTCCTCAACGACACTGAGACTCTTTGTCTGCCTGTCTTATTTTGTCAACAGGCAGGGAGGATCCAGCCCACACCCACACCTCCTGTCCATCCCCCTGACAGCCAACTCTTAAGAGATCTATTTAAAGCCAAGAAATGGGGTGACTTGAAGGCTCTTCTTCCCCAGGCCTCATTCAGAAGTTTGGGAGAACCTGGGCCATTCTTTTTTTTTCTGGCCAAGGCTGGATTTGAACCAACCACCTCTGGCATAAGGGGCTGGTGCCTTACTCCTTTGAGCCATAGGCACCACCCAAACCTGGGCCATTCTTAACTCCAAAATCCCATCCAAAATCAGTTTGTCTCCTAGAACCCAAAATGTTGAGGCTTAGGCATGGAAAGCTGTCAAGTGGTTTACTGAGGGACACCTCTCTGAGAAAGTTGTGGGTCAGTGTAAGCCTGTGGCATTCACTCTGTCCCCTGAAAGGAAAGTGGGTGGGAGGCTGTGGCTAGGTGGGGGACCCCAAGCCTTCCACCTCCTCCCTCTGTCTTCAGTCTCCAGTGTGGCCTCTTGTCATGGTGGGGTACATGGTCATTGTGGAGGACCAGAAGCTCACAAGGGAGTGAAGTGACCACTGGGGAAAGCTGAGTGTGCTGAGTGGGGGCCGGGCAGGGCGGTTCCTGTGAGCTGAGAGGAAGCAGTAATGCAAGATGACTCATTCTAGGAATTGGCTGCAGCTCCAGGGAGGGAGCTGGAGACCGCCATGTAATCCATTAACCATTTATCTACTGCAGGGCTTCAAACACTTTGGGATTGCAACACCCAATGTCAAAAGAAAAAAGGGAGGCTTTGTGGAAAATATGTGGTCTTAAAATATATGTTGAATTGATGATTTGACACTAAGTGCAGAAAAAGAAGTGGGGGTTTTTTTGTTTGTTTGTTTGTTTGTTTGTTTTTTGCAGTTTTTGGCTGGGGCTGGCTTTGAACCTGCCACCTCCAGTATATGGGGCTGGCACCCTACTCCTTTGAGCCACAGGCGCTGCCCCAGAAGAGTGTTTTCTTGATCTAGGAAATACTTCAGATTGCTCTGGGTTGGAAGCAAAAGGATTCCCTAAGTAAGCCTGGCCTGTTCACCTGGCAGCACTTGGCATTCTGAGAGTTCCAAGGCTCGTTTTTCATTTGGTTCTTCTCCAAGGAGACAAATGGGCTGGGAAGGCTCACATACATATATGTGCAAATTTCTATGACTTAGTAAGAGTGTTTTTACCATAAGTGATCCATTTGGAGAAATACAAATGTGATGTTAAGGATTCTTACAGTCAGCTGGGTCCAGTGGCTCTCCCCTGTAATCCTAGCACTTTGGGAGGCCAAGGCATGTGGATTCCCCGAGCTCAGAAGTTCGAGACCAGCCTGAGCAAGAGTGAGACCCTGTATCTAAAAAAATAGCCAGGTACTGGGGAGGCTGAGGCAAGAGAATTGCTTGATCTCAAGAGTTTCCGATTGCCGTGAGCTGTGAGGCCGCAGCACTCTACCGAGGGTAACGAAGTGAGACTGTTTCCAAAAAAAAGGATTTTTTTTTTTTTTTTTTTGAGACAGAGCCTCAAGCTGTCCCCCTGGGTAGAGTGCCGTGACATTACAGCTCACAGCAACCTCCAACT